TAAGACAGACCTTACCTTAATGCTGATGCCTGTACTTGAGGCCTGATTGCTGGATGCTCCAGGCCTTACTCGGCCAGACTTTAGACTCTCTTAAGTTCAGAGCTATAGCCCTTGCAATTATAGTGGGTGTCACACGGTGCATATATGTTATGCGCTGCACCTACAACTATTATAATTGTTATTAAAATGTATTTTATTATTATTTCATTTATTTATTCTTTTTTCTTTTTTTTACTTTTAATGTAACACTTAACACTACCACCTTTTTTACTATCATGTCATCGTTTATTGTGAGGGGGTGGGGGTGGGGGGGGGTTTAAGGGATGTGACTGATGCTGTTTGCTTGTTTGCTGTTTGTTTTTTCACTTTTCACCCTCTATATCTGTATGACAATAAAATGAAAATTCAATAAACATGTTGTTGGAAAAAACAGAAGATCACATCACACATATATAATATCCTATAAGAAGAACCAATGGATAACAGTGTGGACATGAAAGAAACGAAAGAAAACCCCACCAATAGCCCCACTTGGTGGGAATTTGAATAGAAAGTTAAGATGAGAATTTTCAGAACCCCTGTCATTAAATCAAAATCTGGTAACATATTGAATCAGCGATGGAAGGGATGCGGCCTGGTAGGAGACCACACACAAATCTTGGAACTGCACAAAATTAGCATAATATTGGCAAAACATTCAAAAAATAAATAAAAATGTACATCTAGAACTACAATTAGTACCACTGTGGTTCTTACTAGAAGATGTAAACACAATAATATGACTTTCCTACAGAAAGGCCTATTTCAGATTGCCAAGAAGATGATGACAGTCCCCTGGCTGAGGCCAAAGCCCCCACAGTCTCACTATGGAAAGAGAGGGTTAAGGATGTTTACATCTGCAAAGTTGCGTGCATGTGTTTTTTATGAAATGGTCCATGATCATCTCATGTTTTCACATGTGATATGATGTGGAAGTCAATAAACAACTCATGTAGATGTCTTCTGTAATCTAAATCTACACATCATGCTATGTCTTTCCCTGCAACTGTCTAACTGTATTCCAGTGGATGAAAGTCACTACTCATCACTGTGTATTGTGAAGGTAAAATGTTTGTCAACTACAATGAATTGGATTTATTTGCATGGAATAGCACTTTACTGCATACATAGCACTATAAATTACTATCCTACTATCCTGTGATTTTATTGTGGTGGATTGTATTACTTTCTATTTGTTGTACCTTTCTTATATTGATCTCTGTATTGTAATGACCTACCGGGGACTACATATGAAAACTAGCTTTCTGGCTAAATCTGACATATTTGCATTACAATGTTCATTAATATGCTCTGTCCCTTTTAAATAAATAAATAACATTGATGTCCAGGGACTGCCTGATAGGACATTTATATCTGTGATGCATCACTGAATAACTACTGTGTAACTGCAAAAAACAAGTTCAAAATAATATATACATATAACACAAACGTTAGAAAACTGTACAGCAAAAACATCACAATCTATATCTATAATAATATGTACAATATAAGTATTTGACTAAATACTATAATTTGGAGTGTTTAGCTATTTTTGTCCATAAACTCAAGCAATGAGCAACTAGTCCCAGACAACGACCAAAGATAGCTAGATGTATTACTGTAGATACAACCAAACAAACTGCAATTTACAGTGTGGGTGGATGTCCTGACCACTATCTTTAGCGCCCCTAGTGGCAGCAACCAATAATCTGTGTGGCAGTGAGCAGTGGTCCGTGTGGTCCATACATTCTATTGGAGTAGTATGTAGCTGCAGTACCGGAGGCTGCAGTTTCAGGACTGCAATCCTAGGACCGGAACTGCATTTCTAGGACCCTTGTTTACGTTGATACTGCCAGCTAGCTGGCTGGCTAGCTATGTTACTCTTGACAGCCCCCCGAAGCCAGTTACCCTTACCACAACCATCACCGAGTGTGTGCTTAAACCTAAGTTCAGGGCCTCATGGCCGATGTGCTTGCAGACATGGTTAACCTCCTTTGTGTTGCTGTGCACTACCACCACCACTCACCCAGATGGCGCTGTCGCAAAAGAACTACGGTCCTAGAACTGCGGTCCCAGGATTGCAGGGGTCCTGAAACTGCAGCCTCCTAGTGGCAGTGACCACAAGGACTAGTGTGACAGCGACCACTTTCTTTAGCGCCCCTAGTGGTATTGACCACACCGACCAGTGAGGCAGTGACCACTGTATTCAGCGTCCCTAGTGGCAGCGACCCAAGAGCCTCCCGTCTCATGCCCTCCTTCCTGGTTCCAAAATAAAAGATTAAGTCTGGTTCTCTAAGTCTTCTTCATACTTTGGTGTTTTTGAACTGAACAGTAACGGCAATCGTGCTTGAATAAAATACTATGTATTAATTATCAGGCCATTAGAGCTTGTTTATAAAAGTTTGATAACTTTACAGGTAATTTATCGATTTTGTAGTCGACATTTTAGTAGAAATGTAATACTACTTAATTAGGGAAGGTGTTATAAATGTTGTCTTTCTTATCAACTAAGTTAGCCATTTAACTTTTGAAAGTATTATTTAAGGTTTCAAAACTTAAAACCTCCAGACCTCCATTTTTTATGTTGCATAGGATATCTTTCCTTAAAGGGACTATAAATAAGTTTTTCAATGAAATTAATCAAATGTTCATTGCCTTATTATCAATGGGCTCAAAACTCACTTAGAAATGAAGCTTGCCTTTTTCTCCGTTGCTTGCATCAGCCACTATTCTGCTTTTACTGTGGTGGACTCCGGGTCCAGGGTGATAAAACACACGGCAACATCACACGTGATGAACCGAACAAACTAGACACTGTACTCACTTCTCAAGGACGCACACGGAATATGGAAAGGAAAGAAAACGCAGTCCAGAATATGAATGAAGCATTATCCAGAAGTCCAGCAAAACTCCTCTGAACTAGAGACAAAAGATGTGACAACAGTGTCCTCCTGAACGGTTGCAACTGAAAGTGGGGAGACTGAAAACCGTCTCTTCAATTGAGGCACTTAATTGCTGACATGTCATTGGTCCAGGGCAACACGAGGGCCACATTCACGGCGTCACAGACTCTGCATGCATGTTAGGTGGTGCAGTCTATGGGCCGAGTGAGAGACCTTCTGAACACTGTGTGAAGCTGTCTCCCTGCCTGTCTATAGCCGCTGTCAATGGCCCGATCGGGGTCAGTAGTAGTAATGTGTAATACCACTTAATTCCTATCCGATCCAATATCAAGTAATACCCAGGCTGGTATTGCCGATACCGATACCAATACCAATACTTTTTACATATTATATTTCTGGTTTAATGTGACCTCCCTCTCCCGTTTCTGTATTTATGAGAGAAATAAGGAGTAAGCTGTAGCCTTACCAATTCAAAATAATAGCTGCATAATGACAAGACATCAGACTACTGTCAAATTCTTTAATTCTAATGAAGATATCCTGCTCAGAACTGCCGCTTCATAACATCATATTATTATTTTGACTTAATCTCAGGTGTTTAGTGAAGTTTGCCAAAGTATTTCGCTGTCTTTGCACACACATCACAAAGAGCAACATTATTACCTTCGCAGCTAAAATACAGCTAGACGTGACTGTTTCTACAGTCAGCCAGAGTCAGTGTTCAATCGCGGGAAATATAAAGGGCTGCAGCGGCTCACGTCAAAGAAGCTCCGTCACAGAGTCGTAGTGCAAGCATGACTTTGACAGGCAGAAGGGAAAGTATTTCGTATCAACCGAGTAGCCTATAGTTAGACTGTCCTGGTGACAGTAAGATACTTATGATAAAACACACACTCACTCCAAATGACTGAGTTTAGATATCGATCCTTTTATATGAGTATCGATCCTAGAGCAGGAAATGTTGGTATCTGAAATATCGATACTTTAGGATCGATCCGCACATCACTATTCAGTAGGCATTTCAAGTGATAAGGATACATAGATCATATATTCCCTCAGTATTAGATAGAACTCTACCATTGAGTGAAAGATCCCTCATCCACCGCATGTTGGAACCTTTTCCTTATTTGTTTAATCATACGGCTGAAGTTTAGGTTATTGCGAAGATTTTCATTCTTATCACACGCAGGTATGTAACTGGGTTCTTCACTGCATACCATTAACTTCTGATAGTTCACATTCCTTAAGTCGTAGCCTAAGAAACAGATTTGTTCAAGTTCATTCTTAACCCTGAAATAGCAGAAAATTCCTCAACAAATCTAATTGCTTCGATTCATTCCTCTCTACTAGACAAAAAAATGTATCATCTGCCAGTTGAGATCATTTAAATCATCTAAGGTCACTTTAGGCCTACTTTGGAACCATACACTGTATAAAAACTTGAAAGTGACATTTTTCTAATGTCACAATTTCTGTGACAAGGAACAGGGAGGGGCCTTCCCTCAGAGACTGTGGTAGCAGCCAGAGGTCCCTGTAGCAGCGACCAGACCACAGAATTGGCAACAACCCCCTCTCTCTTTGTATATTGACACTCATCACAGGAAAGGTTGCCGACCCCTGGTCTATGGTGTGGTCCGGACCACTAACTTTACCGCCCCTAGTTGCAGGGGAAATATGTCAGACGCAACACTTTTATTCTGCATGTATATCATTTATCAGCAGAGCATTTATAAGTAAGGAGGCTTTTAGTGGATTTGACAGTGCTGGAAAGGTTAAGTAGCGTGTTGTATTATAAGCAGTGTCGCCCACATACAAGAGCATCATGAATGAAATGAAAGTTTACGAAGTGTAATTTTACAGCCAAGCGCGTCAACATAAAACCTCCAAACTGTTTGTCGTGCTTGTCAGGGCGCTGTCTGTGGACAGGACAGAACGGGGCTGGTTTGAGGCGGAGGCGGAGTTTTTGAAGTTAACTTGGCAAAGTGTTTTCCTCTCAGTGCATTAACAGTCTTCAGGGGAAAAGCGGAGAACAAAAAGGTAAGACAATTAATCCGATAGAACTGTTACTCGATCGTATCTTGGTAAAACCCTCAGTGCTCACGGCTGAATCTTTGCGTCTCCCGAAACCCAGACTGTGTAACGTTACTGTCAGCAAAAACGCTTGGTTGGCAAAACCGAATCAGACGGATGTTTTTATCACGAGTTTCAGTCTGCTGGCCGACACACAGGGACAGGTTATCCACCAGTGAAGACCAAGCTCATACAAGTCTTCATTTTTATGAGTGCTACAGCTCATTTATATTTCACTTTAAATCGGCTGTTGTTACTTTAAATTCTAATTCATCCTCCAAGTCGATTCTCCTGTGATTTCTGCCACATCTTGATGGAGGAATATAAAATAAAAATGTTAAATATGGTGTGATAATTGTAAAACCATTTGACTGAAAGGTGATTTGCGAAAGTCAACCTGTGCTTTTAGCTGGTATATGAAAGTTGAATGGCTTTTTCTGTATCTGTCAGCAGGACACGCAGTGCTGATTCCAGTCCAGTTCATCCTATAGTTACAGAGTTCTACACTCCCCATGTCCCGGTGTCATGCAGCTGTGTAGAGGGGGGATGTGGTGGCAGTTTGACCGCTTTACAAGGGGGGTTATTAGAATACTCGATGGATGTCTTCCATCTGAACTGTCAATAATCTCGTGACTTTTTTCCTCAGCCAGTAGCTTTTGGATTGTGTGTGTGTCTGGGGGGGTTGCTTACAGCTTCCTGCTGAAGACTGAGATGTTTTGCTTTCCTAATACTATGTTGTGAAAAAAGGAGAAGTACACTCAGATTGTCTAACAGTATGGGGAGATCTGCCTACATGGTGACATTTAAACATGTTACATAGCTGAGGGTGGAAGACAGTAGAAACAGCTTCACTGACCTACATTAGTGCACATTTTCAAATACTACAGCCACAGCAGCTCCTACAGGCTTGATATTTCATAGCAAACAGGTATGTTTCATGCTAATTATCTTGCTAACATAAACTCTATAATTACTATCCAACACCATGTCCAAAATATGTTTGGAGCAACACTTTAATGTGGTTTCCTAAAAGAGATGCATCATTTTGTTATTTTGTTTCCTAAAGCAGCATAAAAACCTTTTGTAAGTTGCAGTTTTTGAAGTTGTATAGAGACAGCTATGTAAGCTTGCTGTACTGCTGCTGACATGTCACTAAATTGAAATGCACACTTTAATTTTTCCCTCTGAGGTGAGCCGTGGTGGGACCACTCCTTTTGTAGAGCCCGCTGTCATGGCTCGGTACCTTAAGTATTTCACCACTGTGGGTGATGAGCATGCAGTCCAGTTGGAAGAGGAAGAGCTGCATGTGGCCAGCGAGGAGCTGAGTCCGGCCACAGGCCAGTTTCCAACAACACTGACCTTCAGGGATTCACTGCAAAGGCTCTACAAGTCCGATCGGTTCCAGGTATGCCACTCTGGTCTTTTCAATGCATCTGTTGGTAGATCAACATCATTGATCCATCATTTTGAAAGCAAGTGTCATGGTTTTTCTACTTTGATGCCACTGAAAAGCAGATAGGAAAAATACCCATCATTCCAAGGTGACAACAGATTGCTTGTTGTTGTCTGACCATTATTCACTGTTCTGATAGAAAACACTGTTTGAACATGACAAGCTGGAACCAGCAAACGTTGGCTTTTTTTGCTTGTTTGAAAATTCCACATATATCAGACACACGACGGACATTCTTTTCCCTTGTCAAAACCTTGTGCTTACATTACCCACAATGCAACACAACTGCCTGCAGTTTGGTCTGACTCAGGTGTGCTATGGTAGTAGTGGCTAATGTAACCTTGAGCTGCTTATCTCAGTCAGGCTACAGAGGTCTGATGAGCTCACTTTTTGTCTGATGCCAAACCAACAAACCTGTTTCAGTTTCAAACTTGTAGTCTTCAGCCCCAACCCACGCTGACTCAGGAGACATTACATTAATCAGACCTCACACAGCTCCCTCTGGAGACACTAAAGGCTATATTCTACTTTAAAACATGCGGTAGAATGACAGGAAACACACTGATGTGTAACATTGGTGCATTGCTTAAATGATTTTGAACAGTTGCTGCATAAACAGAGGCACTGTCAGCTGATTGTCTGACTTTGCTTCCAGGTGTTGGTGGTGTGTTTAGTAATCCTGGATGCCATCTTTGTTCTGGCGGAGCTGCTTATAGATCTGTCCGTTATCCAGTTGGAACATGGCCACATTGTTCCTGAGGTGAGACACATATGATAAGTAAATCATTATTATCAAGATGTTTTATATAATATCATTTACTTTTTGCAGGTGTTTCACTATCTGAGTTTGGCTGTTCTCACATTCTTCATGGTGGAGCTGGCTGGTAAGCTCTTTGCTTACCGCCTGGAGTTCTTTCAGCACAAGTTTGAGATATTTGATGGTTTGGTGGTGGTACTTTCCTTTGTGTTGGACATTGTCTACATCTTCCATGAGGACGCCTTTGATGCGGTGGGTCTCCTGATCCTGCTGCGACTCTGGAGGGTGGCCAGGATTATCAACGGTCAGTAACACTTATGCCTAAAAGCATCTCGAAGGTGTGGACAAAATAACATGATTTAGCTGCAACTCATCGCCCGTCAGTGAAATTCGTCATTTTGAATGAAAAGTATGTGGTTTGTGTCGGGGCCAAGACTTTATTTGCAGTGACCTTTAAATAATGCTTAAACCATCTCTCGCAGCATACTTTTAAAAATGCAACAGAGGGGTGAGCGAGCAACAAGTGTGGGCGGTGTGACCCATAAACTGTATAAAAGAAGTGGGCGTAGTCACTGTGATGTCATTTTAAAGCTTTGAGTTCACTGTGTAAGGGCCAAAGAGACAAAAACACTGGCAGTACTCAGTTGCCTCAATCCTGACTGACAGGTTGCCGTGGTTGTCTCATTAGGAAAGTGTTTACAGAGGTGATAAATCAAGTAAGAAGAAGGCTCATTTTCTCAGACTCAAATGCAATTGGACCTTTTAATGAATTCCCTACCCTCGCTTTAAGTGATAATTTGTGACTCAATAGCTCTTCTGTAAAATACAGTATATTTTGTACTACTTCTAGAATTGTCTCTATGGATACAGATGGGTTGATGATGATGATGGTGGTTACTATTTTAAGACCATGGACTGATAAAGTGAATATATAGGACTCCTTCCACCGGCCGCCTCAGACCTAGTGTGGTAGTTTTTATGATATAAATTTACTTGATTGAATTTTTAAGGCTTTGCTCACATTTGCAGTGAAAATGTGCTTCTCAAACAGAGAAGGGTACTAGAAGCCAATGGGAGATGACTGTGTTTGAATGTGTTGCAGGTATCCTGGTGTCTGTGAAGACACGTGCACACCAAAAGATCCACAAGTTGAAGGAGAGCTATGACCACCTCGTTCAAAGAGTCACAGAGCTGCAGGAGCGTAGTGATAAACTGGTGATTCCTGACGACGGCTTTACACTAAATACTAACTCCTTAACAGTTTATCACAACTCAGGTTTTATTTTTGTAGTTCTGGCAATTTCAGTCATGATGACACTGTACTCACCAAAGTGAATGCTGTGACCCCAAGAAGTAGGTTGTGCATGATGCATGTTCCCTGCACAAAACCTTGGGGGATCTGGACACAAGTATTTCTATTATTCTAGTACATCATCCTAACTAAGACAGAAATCCATTTGGGCCAACACAGTTGAACTGACAGTGAGGTGTGGAAGCTGTGAATGACTGACTCTTCTCTATGTCTGTCTATCCTAGGAACAAGAGAACCAGAGGCTTCAGGCCCTCCTGAAGAAGCACGACATAGACTTCTAACTCATCATGCTAACTGTTGTGGAGCTACTGTTCACTCTCATTGATACTGTGTACCTTTCTTTTAATTTTCAAATATACATTCCAAGATGATCTTTTATTTTAGACCTTATTTTAGTATTCTGACTTACTGTTACTGGAGAGAAAGCCTTTTTTTCCAATATGTGTATCAGTAGATCCATATCCAGGTTTCCAGTCATCGTAGTGATGGAAACCAGTGAAATGGTAAATATTGGTAAATATTTGAAACATTCCCCAGTCTGATGACTTGTACATAAAACTAAATTTGCATCTGCTTAGTGACATTTAAAAGTACTGTATGTTGTGTAAGAAAAAGAGATTTAAGTAAAGTGATTTTGTTTATTAAAATTTTTTATAAATAATCTTTAAAAAATCCTACATACATTATTCACAAAATACACAGTTAAAAGGTAAAAAACAGTGCTTGTTGTCATAAATGCCACGTGCCAGTGTGCATGGTAAATGTTACTGCACGGACTGTTCAGACAAAAGGGAAGAAAAAGTCAAAGGGTAGCTGGGCGTTGATGGTGGGCGTGGCTCTGTAACCAGGAAGAGCGGCAGCAGAAATTGGTATGAAGGTCACTGAGCTCCTGATTGACAGGATGCTGCTGCCTCCAGGTAACAGGGCCTGTGGGGGAAACAGGCAGCAGACACGATCACACTGCAAGGTATCTTTTAATTGTTCTTAGTGTCCTGTCAGTATTTATAGAAAAGTGAGTCTTACCAAACTGCTGGTGTTGGTTTGGATTACTTCTTTGATGCTCACAATCTGAGGTTGGGGGTTCACCAAAGATCCATATGTAGTCCATTCAATATCTAAGTGAAGTGACAATGGGATGCTGCAACTCTGTGCATCCTGCAAATCAAACATACTGCTGGACTGTTGGCTCACAACTAAAGCATGTTCTAAATGTGAAAATGTGTACAGATGAATTAACATTTATTTCATTCAAGTCACCACACTAAGTGTTTGTGGAATGGAAACCACACACTGAGTGACCACCTCCAGTAATGAAAAAAGGGAGTGCATAAAATAAATAGATGAAGAAATAATATCCAAACAAAAACTTGGGGGAAAAAGGCAATGTAGAAAAGAAGAAACCTCCTTTTGTCTCACAAACTGTCACAAATAAAATGTCACTAAAATGCTGAAAGATATTTTATTGTGGACATTAAATATGTACTGGACTTCCTCCGACATGGCTTAAACTTCTCCAATCAGATTCAGGATTTGACTAGAGCACTTTCAAGACCTGAAACTCTTGTATTTCATACTGTGCTCACCTGGGGACTGAAGTTGTTCTTGATTGGCACCCAGTCCAGTGGATAGTCTAACGGGGAGTTTCCAAAGGAAGCCACATACTGGGGATAGTTTGGTCCTCTCAGAACATCGAGAAGCACCTGAAAGACCAGGGAGCAGTTGACAGCATCCTCCAGTCTGCAGGGAGAGACAGTCACACATGTATAAAGACAGAGGGAAACACTGTACCTCTACCACAGTGACCAGATTGGTTGGGTGTGAAGATGTCCTGCCTTAATGTGCAGCCACCCACAGAGTCCAGACCAAACTGGACAGGGGAGCGCCTATGTGGTCCCTGCAAACAGTCTTGGTCCTCAGCACTGTGGAGAAGAGACAGTGTGTCTCTGGGGCCTGTGCTTCTAGCAATCCCAGTGAAGACAACAGTTAAGGACATATCCTGGGCTTTGTGACACATCAGACCATCAAACACGGTCAAAGTACCCCTAACCCCATACTACTACTGTCCAGGGACATCATTAAACCAGGGTGGGGGAAAGCCAGCGTTTAGGCAGGTAAAGGATATTCTGCTCTTTTTGTTCCAGACACAAGAGGTCGTCCAAACACATAACCTGGATTTCCACTGTATTGGACAGCCACCTCCCCGTCCTCCTGCCAATTGGACATGAGACAAAGTACATTACTCACGTCTAAAAAAAGAAGACGTTTCAATAACATTACATTTACTGTTTGCATACATTAACAAGAGTCATAAAGGTTGTGTGTAACATGAAGGGGGGGTACAACTTTCATTCATTGTGCAGCCTTGTGTCGTAGAATGACAAATAAATGTACCTTGGACTTAACCTTAATAATGAGTGAAAGGTTCATTAGTGTACATCTACAGAATAATTTTGCAGCTTTTAAAAAAAGTAGAGAATCAGGCAAACATATAGCCTTCTGGAGCAATGTAGCCAGACACTGATGTTGGACACATTCTCCTTCGTCCCTTAGGTGTTGGATAGGGTCGAGGTCAGGGCTGGGAAAACAATGTCTTTATGGAGCTGGCTTTGTGCATTATCATATTGAAAGAGGAAAAGGCCAAACACAAACGGTTAGAAGAACTGTTGTCAAAAATTGTATGTTTTAGCATTAAGATTTCCCTTAAGAAAGCCCACCCCATAAAAAAAAGCCTCGGACAAAAGTACTGGGACAGGGGTGTCCCAGATTTCCTCGTGTAGAAAAAAGCCATGACTCCATGATAAATTCAAAATGTCTTGTTGAGACACTACCTGGACAAATGTGATCTGAAACTCCTGTTCCAGGGGCAGCGCAGCTTCACGAACAAAGCCAAGCACCAGAGACACCGTCACATTCACTATCTCCCCAGCTGGGTTGTACTTAATCACAAAGACAACCTAAAGAGACAAAAATGTCTAATTGGTCCAGCAGACAATAACACATTTTTATGTTATTATAAGAGTTTTCATTCTATATCTGCAATGTCAATATACAGTACTTTCCATGTACTGTGTGTGATATAATCTCCATTTTTGTTTGACAAGAACACAGTACTTCAGGGCAAATACTACACACTTGTAATGTGTCACCAGAAAAAGTCGGCATATTTTAATTGAAGTACTTCAGAACACATGTGGGAGGCTGGTTGACTCACCTTCAACACCACATTAGCACAGAGGACCTGGTTCAGGAGAATAGGGGTGAGGTTTTCTCCACCACTTATCTGTAGCTCAGTCTGAGTCCCATCTACAGACTGCAGGACAACTGAGTCCACTTCCACAGGAACAACCTCCAGCAACATCAGAAACACCCACATTAGTCAACATGTTTCACATCTCTACTATTGGATGGACTGCCATGACATTTGGTACCATTAATAACTTTGGTAATCACCTGACTTTTTATCTAGCGCCACCCACAGGATATATATGGAATATGTCCAGTACTTTGATTTATGACCAAATTCCTGCTAAACTAATGACATTCCTATCGCCCTCAGATGTGCTTTGTGTTTAGTGCTAATTAACCTATTGTTGGCATTGCAGTCTCGGAAGACCATAGATTTCTTGTGGTTGGGTGTTAGGTTGTAGCACAGCGTCTGCTGTGGCTGTATAGTCCAATCTGTGAGAGGCAGACTCGGCCGCAGAAGTTACATGTGTAATACACGGCACTGCAAGTACATGGAAGTGTACTAACTGAGTTGAGACACAGCATCTGTATTGTTTCAGTGTGTCTAACCAGCATTACAGCCATTGGTGTCCATTTTAAAGATATGTTATTATATAGTCGCAGGAAAAAGTATGTGAACACTTTGGAATTACCTGGATTTCTTCATCTAAGTCACAACAATAGACAAACAGTCTGCTTAAACTAATACCACACAAACAATTATATGTTTTTATTGAACACATCACAGCGCAGGGTGGAAAGTATGTGATCCTCTAGGCTAATGACCTCTCTAAAAGCTAACTGGAGTCAGAAGTCAGCCAACCTGGAGTCCAATCAATGAAACGAAATTGGAGGTGTTGGTAAGAGCTGCCCTGCCTTATAAGAAACACACACCAATTTTAAGTTTGAAAGAAAGAAAAGAAAAAAACAGGAAAGCAAAATATGTAAATGTAAATGTGTGTGTGTGTGTATAAAAGCCTGTCAGGGAACGTGGGTACCCCAGCGGCAGGCAGGTAAGACAGCCAGCAGCCAGGGCACCATGGGGAACGGCAGCGAGCCACACCAGGTAGTCTCCGCAGCCAGGGAGCAAGACCGCGGGAGAACCAGGGATGACAGGGCCCCCGCGAGCAGAGGAGACAACGGGACATGCTAATGAGTGGAAGCCCATGGCCCCACACCAGGGGGGCTACAACCCCCACCAAGGCAAGGCGGACCGGCCCGGAGGGACAGCGCGGACCCCCCGGAAAAAAGGCCAGGAGGTCGCCACCCCCAAATTGATCCACATGCAGCGCACTTAAAAACTGAATCACGGGTGAGTTTATTAAACACGGCTACTTTATGAAACGTACTGCTGATGGAGAAAGTCAGCTGAGACACACACAGGAAGAGAGAGATAGTTTTTTCCCACAAGCCATCACTCTGATGAACATCTGATTTCTGACTCACGGTGTCAGGAACAATTCCTGTGCAATAACCCAGAAACTCTGTCTCTAATCAGCCACCTGTTTACTGGCTAACATTTATTATTTATTCACCATTCTCTATTTCAGTGCTGTTCATTGTTATATTGTCATATTGTATAAACTGTATACCTAATCCACCTACCTCGAGTCATAACTCCTGCACAAAATACTTCACTTACTTACTAATACTTATTCATTCCTGCATCCTTTGCACTATGCTTCATTGCACTGTGTACATGTATGCATGTATATGTACCTGTATATCACATCCACCTCCGACATGTACATACTCCTGCATCCTTTGCACTCTGCTCACTGCTCTATTTGTCAATATGTCTATATTGTTTTTGTTCATAGTGTGTATATTTGTGTTGTCTACACTGAAGTCTGTCTGATTTTATTTTTATTATTGTGATTTTGTATTTTTGTATGAGTAAGCACATTGTGAGCAATGTACAATCCAGAGTCAAATTACTCTTATGTGTACACATACCTGGCAATAAAGCTGATTCTGAAAGAGGTGGAGCAAGCCAGCGTGTTTGCCGTTAGAGACCAGAGGTGCAGGCTAGGTGTGTGTGTTTATGCGAGTGTGGGGAGAAGAGAAGCAGATTCAAGTAGCAAATAAACACTAAAATAAGGTGGGAAGTTACTTACAATAACCTACTGTCAATACAAATACATCTACACTGCTACCGCCCCCATCCCCCCACTGGCCGCCGCCACAGTTACACTGTCTTAATGGGAGCTTAACAGTTCAGGGAGTGGGTGTGCCGCGGTTCTGTCTCTTGGAACCACGGCACGAGACCGTGGCCTTTTTTACCACGGTTTCGTTCTCGGTTTCAGAACTTTTGCAGCCCTAATATTAGATAATACTTCAATTCTTTTTGGCCTTCCAGTTCATGAGGATAGTTTTCTTGGCGATGCACAGGGCAGTGAGAAGCATGTATGATGTGTCAACCTCTGTACTAATGTCAGTTAGGTCCCCCAGCACGCACAGTGAGGGGGAAACTGAGATGGGGTACCTTAGCCCGTTGACAGGTCTTCATATCTAACTTTTGGACAGGTGCATATTGCCACATAGCGTGCATGTAACTATCCTAGATTTTACCTGAGCAGTTGCAAAAGTATCTCTAAAAGCCTTGATGTTCATCAGGCCACGATAAGACAAATTATTTATAAATGGAGAAAGTTCAGCTCTGTTACTCTCCCTAGGTATGGCCATCATGCAAAGATGGTTGCACAAGCATAGTGCAGAATGCTCAATGAGGTTAAGAAGAATCCTAGAGTGTCAGCTGAAGGCTTACAGAAATCTCTAGAACATGCAAACATCTCTGTTGACGACTTTATGATACTTAAAGCACTCAACAAGAATGGAGATTATGGGAGGACACCATGGAAGAAGCCACTGCTGTCCAAATAAGACATTGCTGCACCTCAACAGAATGGCTTCAGCAGAAGAAAATGCGCCTTCTGGAATGGCCCAGTCTGTCCTGACCTCTACCCGATTGAGATGCTGTGGCATGACCTCAAGATAGCAATTCACACCACACATCCCAAGAATATTGCTGAACTGAAACAGTTTTGTACAGAGGCCGTTGTTCAGGTCTGATCCGCAGCTACAGGAAACGTTTGGTTGAGGTTACTGCTGCCAAAGGCGAGTCAATCAGTTATAAATCCAAGGGTTCACATACTTTTTCCACCCTGCACTGTGAATGTTTACATGGTGTGTTCAATAAAAACATGAAAACATATAATTGTCATATGATTATTAGTTTAAGCAGACTGTGTTTGTCTATTGTTGTGACTTGTATACTTCTTTGTCGAATCTACGGTGTAGCCTACACATAGCCAGGTAGCCTACCGCCCCAAAAATGTAACTACATGTCTCAACAATAAAGTCTCGGTTCCAAATGTTGTTCATTGTTGGAATAAACATACTTTAGACCTGGACTGGAAGAAAATTAGGGGCTTACCTTCCAAATATCTAATTTTAAATAAGGTTAAGGAAGTGTCTTTTAAAATGTTGCGTCACTATTATCTCTCCAAGGTATTTCTATGAAGACAATAAATCAAAGTTCTCCAATCATAAGCCTTCCTTTGCCATTTTTTGAAACAGTACATCAGAACAATCCTATACTCTTAAAAACAGGAAAGCTATCGAGATCATGAATCTATTAACCCTGTTTAACATTTTTCACTGCTGATTTGTGATCCTTCTTTTTCTGTCAGTCTTACGCTCCTCTGGTATTAAGTGCGTCGAAACGACTGCGGCTGACTTTTGCTGACTTGATTGTCTCAATGACTGTCTTTGAATTTGAAAATGGCGCGATCAGGCAAAAGTTGGTTATTTGATTGTATTATTGTTAAATATCCCTGTTTGAATAATTTAATAAAGTATATTAAAAAGCAAAAGGTGGTTCCAACTTTGTGCAGCTGGAGAAAAGCAACTGCGGCCATCGGACTGCAATCGCCTTGCTCCCGTGAGATTTTAATGTCATGTGACATGGTACAGTTTGTAGCACCGGCAAAAGTTGGACACAATTTCTAACCAGCATGTCTTATGTTAAGTCCAGCATTAGGGTTGGGCAATCTTCTCTATTTTCATATCGTCTGATCATGGCTACCTGAGATCACCGATTGCGGATCTAATCGCCAGGGGGCGACGTTACGTTGCAGCAAGTCAGTGAATTTCTAGAAGAAATAGGCTTGTTAGCTTTAAGAGAAACCACCAGAAACATCTGTAAATGCACAGTACAGTGTTTCCCACAGAATTACCATGTAACTGAGGCGGCGCGCACATGCGGCAGGGAGGAGGGTGCAATCAGGGTGCAATCGATGGCAGCTATGTACACCGTGTCAACCTTGACAACCCGGGTGTAACGTTAACATATCCGTCTCTGACACTGACAGCGTTGTGTTAAGAAAATAGATAGACTAACTTCTCAGAGTTAATTTCAATGCGTTAGTTTTTCTATAAACACACGGCTCCGTTTCAATGTGTTAGTGAGAAAGAGAGAAAAAGAGATGGAGGGAGGGGGAGCGAGTGAGCAAGCAGAGGTGCTGAGAGAATCTATACAATGACTTATGATTTTACTCATAGTAAATAGTATATAGTATGTGGCGTGGTGTGACATTGTGGCGTGTCGTGTCGCCACACATCAATCAATGAATGGGAAACACTGCAGTGTGGTGCAGATTCTAGAGACTGTTTTTATGTCTGATAGTAAGTTAGTTAAAATCGCCTTAATATTGGCACATGAAAAAAATCGATGATCATCCCTTCAATCGTCGATAAGTGACCAATTGCCAATCGGAACAACCCTATCCAGCATCATGTTAAGTCGCCGCATGATGTCAAACGCACTGCTCTTGGGCAAATTCAATCTCAAAACGTTTTGCAATGGTTTGCAACGTTTTCGGCATATTCAACATATAAGTATAAATCAAGCATTAGATGAAGATCAGGAGGTAGAGCAGGGTCAACCCTGGTGAATGCAGATGTAGTGTAAAAGCGCTTTGAGTGGTGGAAAAGACTAGAAAGGCGCTATACAAGTACGGAGCATCAGATAACATTTTATGACCGATTTATGCAGAAATCCAGGTAATTTCAAAGGGTTCACATACATTTTCCTGCAACTGCATATAGGGTAATAAAGAAAATCTTAGTTGTTTGCACTGCAATACACCAATGTTTTTGACATAGATAAAAGCAGACAGGATGTTGAATGTGGTGGATTACATCCCTCAATCAAGGTTCAAGTTTCTGCTGGTGGAATTTTGTACCATATGGAAATCCATTACAGGTGGGAAAACACTTTAACAGATCTAAACACTACCAGTGTAGTTTGCAGAAATGTAAAGCAAAAGTGTAGTGTGGTGTGCAATAACTGATTACTTCATTCTTCTTGGGAACTGAGCAGAAAATTGTGAGAGAAATGTCATTTGCTGTCTTTGCATTGCAGCATTTCACATCAGCTTTCTGTCTTAATGCACTATGTGGCAAGTCCAGAGGAGACATGTTTTTAAGGCCTGTCTATTCATGTCTATTCTTTGCGCAAAAGGAATGTCAGTGTCTTGCTAAATTTCCTGGTTAGGCAGGGCTGTGGTGCCATGTGAACATTTTAAACACAAACTTTTAAGCAGCTCCTTGATTATTTTATAGCACCCAATAACACACAGCTGGGTTTCAGACCATCAACACGGAGCTGAGAGATCATTATAGGATTAGGACTTTAAAGCTGACAAATAACAACAAATAACAACAACTACAGTGCCAAGTAGTGTGAAGACATCCAGTATAACTGGCAGTGTGGCGTATATAGATAAAAGTATACATACTTACTGCTGCATCTTTATTCTTCCCCTGTAGAGTGGAAAAGATTTAACGTCTTTAAATTAACTTCAACTGATTTTCTTTTTGTAGAGTTTCACTGTATTTTGAGAATGTCCAACACAGTAGCTAATTTATCTTACGCAACTTATGTACAAACATTTTACTTTGTTTTCTTAGAATAAAAAAAAAGAAACAAGTAAAAGGAAAAGTCCACCCAAAAACTCTTTCCAGCTATAATTATGGTAAAAAGTAATCTTCTATAGCAGGTGAAGGAAAATAGCAGAAGCATTCAGAAAGGAAGGCTGACAAAAAGTGAACTCAAGAGGTAAATTAGGTAAAATATTACACTTCCATAAAGTTAGAGAACTTGCAAAAGTTGCATGTGTCTCTTTACTTTGGTGGAGTGTTCCCTTAATCACAGTACCTGTCTCCTAGAGTGCGCATTGTACATCACTCACTGATAATATCTAAGAGAGTGAGGGTTTGAGGGTGGACGTTTTCTTTAAGGGACCAGCAGAGTTGATGTAGAACTCACAGCAAATAGCTGAATGTTCGTGTAGGTGTCTATGCTGAGGGCCAGTAGAGTGCTGCAGTCCTGCTCCAGGACCACGCGCCGAGAACACCGACTGCTCTGATCCTTTAGGAACGCTGGGAAGACAAACAGCAACAACACGCAGAAAAATGACACCGATTTAAAGCTCTTTTAAGCATCTTCATCAAAGAGAAACGATCAGACACAACTTAATAATGACACAACCACTCAAACATCAAAATAAAAATAAACAGCAGTTCAGATCTGGGGCTGCACATTATGATAAAAAAACACATTGACAGATATTACGATTGTGACATTGGGTTAGAGGAGGATTTTCTCCTAGATCATTTAACACTTCATGCTGCACTATAAATGTATTTTATACAAGAGGATTAAGTATATGTTTTTTCAGACTGGATAGTTTTGCTGAATATAGATATACTGTAGATTTTAAAGTATTTTAGAGGTTGTGGCCTCCTCCATCCTTATCCATGGCAAAGGTGAATTATGATCAAATTAGAAAGAGGCTGCCTGTAGCTGAGTAGCCCAGTATTATCCCTGGAGGTCAGGGGCTTTTAACCTAAGCTTTTTTCGTTAGTGTTCCTTGTTGCTGTGACGACAGTCGTTACAGTCGTTGAGACTACCTGTGGCCAAGACTGAACGACCATCGTTGGTATCTTCACCTGAGGCCAATAGGTTACGTTTGTTGAGTTTCCTGGGAAGTGATGAAAGGACAGCATTGTAAGTGGGGGATAAGTGGTGGCGTAGACCCCCTCCCCTGTTCAATGACGGCTTCTCCACCCTGGTGTAGATGGCTTCCTTGACACCTCTTTCAAACCATCCATCTTCTCTGTCTAAAATGTGCACCTGGTGGTCCTCAAACGAGTGTCCTCTGTCCTTCAGATGTAAGTAGACTGCAGAGTCTTGACCTGAGGAGTTGGCCCTTCTGTGTCGTGGTTGTTTAGTCTCCCCAATATACAGGTCTGTGCATTCCTCACTGCATTGGACCGCATACACTAGATTGCTTTTCTTGTGTTTGGGTGTGCGGTCTTTGGGGTGGACCAGCATCTGTCTTAGTGTGTTCTTGGGTTTAAAAAACACTGGGATGTTGTGTTTGTGGATACCCTAAATGGACCTTTGTGAAAACAGCCACAAGATCCAAGAAGAACAAAACTACAGGGGATGAAGAAAAGAAGGTCAAATGCAACAACATTGTGATTCCATACGTGTCTGGAGTAGAGCTTCTTCATTCTGTTAAAAAATGTGGAATGGTCTGAAAGAGGTAAAGAAACTTCCAGTCACAGATGATGGTACAGCTGCCCACATGTTACAGATTTTACCACTGAATCAATCACTGGATTCTAGTTTGTAGGCATGACGGCTTCCATCGCTGGAGTGATCTTTATACCAATGTATGTTCAGCTTTCCAAAACGTTCTGACAGGTGTACCCTATGTAACTGACCCTCACAAGTTTGTTTTCAGAACCAACAGATCCACAGAGGATGCCATCAGAGTGGTGCTCAGAGAACAACCTACTGCTCAACGTCAGCAAAACCAAGGAGCTGATCACGGATTTCAGGAAAAAGGAGATAAAATCACAGAGACGGCCAGGACGCAGACAGACAGCAGAGGGGAGAGACGGCCAGGACGCAGACAGACAGCAGAGGGGAGAGACGGCCAGGACGCAGACAGACAGCAGAGGGGAGAGACGGCCAGGACGCAGACAGACAGCAGAGGGGAGAGACGGCCATACATATTCAGACACCGACGACACAGCCTTTGGGAGCAATTTGGGGTTCATTGTTTTCCCAAGGACACGTCGACATGCCACCAACCTTCTGATAAGTGGACGACCGCTCTACCCCCTGAGCCTCAGCTGCCCCTAAAAGCTTGAGGCATTAAAGAGATACTATGTAATTTTGAAAGATGTAATGACACATTCTTCATCTTCCAAATAAAAATTTGAATTCATAAGAAATAAAATACACCCTTGCTCAATTTTTTGAGCAATTAGCAATTAATTTTTGCTAGACATCACTGTGTAACTGTCAATCTTCTCTATTTATGCTACCTTCACTATGTTTTAGGATTCATCATTATCCCATAATTCACAATATTGCCACAGTGGCCACATTTCAGCAAAAGTGACAAAGCCCCACATTATGGGGAGTAGTAGTTACCTGCAGGACTTGTGTCCATACAGTCAGCAGTGAAACTAGGAGCTGGCAACCAGAACGTCCCTCTCTGTCCACTGGCTCCTGCTGTCCCCATCACATCCCCATACTGAAAGCATAAACCATCAACAGTTATTCCATGAAAATTACAAATAGGTTTGAGAGAAACAGGCAGATTAACAGTTACTCCATCAAAACGGAAACTCACCCGGTATCCAGACGAGGCCTGGAGCTCTGCAGTGGACACCGGACCACTGTTCACCTCTGAGCCAAAAATAAAGCTGGTAAATTGTTTGAAGAGTGAATCAAAGTTGCTGTCGGTTGGAAGAGAGGGTGAGGGATGAGATACTCCATCAACACCTAGACAGAACAAATAGTTGAGACAGACTTGAGATGGAGAAAGACATTTCATAAAGTCATCTGTGACATGGCTGCACACTGTGCTCAATATCAGTCTACAAAGAAGTTTTCATAAAATAACAGTACCTATATTATGCACACTTTATTCTGGTAATTAGAAAAATAACTAGTTCATTTAAATCTACTAACTGACCCACTGGTGCAAGGCTTAAGTAATAGATAATATTTTCATTATTCACAGTATGTATTCAGGTACTTTCTAATCCAAATGAAAACTATTAATGACTCACGGTTCTGTGACTGAATGCAAAAGATGTCATAATTAGTCTCCTTCTGGACAGACGACTGTAGCTCTGAGTAGCCATCTATTGCACTCCCTAAAGAGTAGGATGCTACATCACGGCTGCACAGCTGCTTGTTGCCACTGCAACCAAAAGAGAACAAAGGATACCATGTGTAAACCTGCCAGATACACTGAACGGAGGAATCCTATTCATACTCACATACAATGGAAACATTTGATTAAACAGTAGTGTGGTGTTAATCAGGTGGTGTTGTTTGAACCTCACAATTCAGCGTACGAATATTACAAATTTACAACTCGTGAACAAACTCGTGAATAAATCTCATTTCATGACTTTTATATGAATTGAAGTCACCCTAAATTCTAAAACTGTGGCCGGACTCTTATTTTACCACAACTGAAGAGAGATCAAATTTTAAGAAGAGGTCTTCTGATATCTCATTTTAACTTTACAAATCCAACACTTCCTCTATGTTTACTTGTAGTCTCCATGAATTCAACATAACGTACACTTCCACAACACTAATTCTAGCACTACAACAAAAGAATCACGTCACACTCACTTCTCCTTCACTAATTATTTGATTTGTGTTAAGTTACCATCAATGAAACAGCACTCCCTATACAATAGAAGTTTTTCAGTTGTCTCAAAGGGCTTAATCCCGCTCTCCCCCTAGAAGCCTTTTAACTTGAAATGTCAGCAGGAAGAGTTGAGTTTCACTGACAGTAACTTGACTTTGCTACTTTCCTGGTTACTTACAAATCATTAGTATTGAAATGTATGAAATACTGTATACAGTGGGTTATGACGAGATGTTTTTAACTTCTGTATTACTTCTTCAACACCACTCAAGTGTGACCTACAATACCACAAGCCTTTTGTTGCGTCTCTGTGGAAGCCTGGCATACTTGCCTGACAGTGTCCACTGAGCAGCCAGTGAACAGAGCCACCTCCTCACTACACTCTCTGTCACAGCAGCAGTTGATGTCACACACATCCTTGTGCTCGTCACAGGAACACAACCTGTCAACTGACACACACACACACACGCACACACACCAAAGCTCAGATTAAAAGGACATTCTCACAACAAAGCACATTTATATGTTACATGTCCGTTATGTGTTTACATGTTTATATATTCAGTTCAATTTTATTTATATAGCGCCAAATCACAACAACAGTTATCTCAGAGCGCTTTTCATAAAAGAGCAGGTGAACCATGGCTCAGGGTGGGTGGCCATCTGCCTCGACCGGTTGGGGGTGAGAGCCACAGATCCAGACTCCACAGTTCCAGAGCCAGAAAACTTGCAGGAAGTGATAGGAGGAGAGAGGAGAGGGACGAGAAAGCACAAGACTACCAGAAAGGGGAGAAGTTGTGTTAGTAACATGCAATAATGGAATGAGGTTGCATACAGAGGGAGAGAAAGAGGAGGAGAGAGGAGCTCAGTGCATCATGGGAAATCCCCCGGCAGTCTAGGCCTATAGCAGCATAACTAAGGGATGGTTCAGGACTCACCTGAGCCAGCCCTAACTATAAGCTTTATCAAAGAGGAAAGTCTTAAGCCTACTCTTAAATGTGGAGATGGTGTCTGCCTCCTGAACCCAAACTGGAACCTGGTTCCACAGGAGAGGAGCTTGATAGCTGAACGCTCTGGCTCCTAGTCTACTTTTGGAGACTCTAGGAACCACAAGTAACCCTGCATTCTGGGAGCGCAGTGCTCTGGTGGGGTAGTAAGGTACTATGAGCTCTTTAAGATAAGATGGTGCCTGACCATTAAGAGCTTTGTAGGTAAGAAGAATGATTTTAAATTCTATTCTGGATTTTACTGGAAGCCAATGCAGAGAAGCTAAGACAGGAGAAATATGATGGCTGTGTCCGAAATCCCCACTCATTCACTACTCCCTACCCCCTTTGTAGGGAGTTGTATATAGAGCACCATATAGTGAGCTCACTCGCATTATTAAAACACTTTCGGACACTTCTCCGATTGTTATTTCGGCGCCATTAATAACGTCATTGCCGTCGGACAATCAGTTTTTTCTATCAGCGCAATGCATGATGGTATATACAGCTTGGTTAGTGACCATCAGTTGTACACTACTTTTCAAAATGCATTCTGGGATGCATTGAGAATATATATATAGGGTATAATAATTATCATTATACATTCGGACAGCACTACAAAATGGCGAGCTCACTATATAGTAAGTAGTAGGTGATTTCGGACACAGCCGATCTTTTCTTTTCTCTCTTTTCTTAATGGACTTTTTTGAGCAGCCTGATAATAAGGAAGTGCAGTAATCCAGCCTAGAAGTAACAAATGCATGGACTAGTTTTTCTGCATCATTTTTAGACAGGATGTTCCTGATTTTCGCAATATTACGTAGGTGAAAAAAGGCGGTCCTTGAAATTTGCTTAATGTGAGACTTAAACGACATGTCCTGATCAAAGATAACTCCAAGATTCCTCACAGTGGTGCTGGAGGCCAGGGCGATGCCATGAAGGGAAACTATATCTTTAGATAATGCGTCACGGAGGTGCTTAGGCCCCAGAACAATAACTTCAGTTTTATCTGAGTTTAACATTAGAAAATTACAGGTCATCCAGGTTTTAACATCCTGAAGGCACATTTGAAGTTTAGCTAACTGATGAGTTTCATCTGGCTTGATCGATAGATATAACTGAGTATCATCTGCATAACAATGAAAGCTTATGGAATATTTCCTGATAATAAGTGTAAATGCTCCGTATTTGTATAGCACCTTTCTAGTCTTTTCGACCACTCAAAGCGCTTTTACACTACATCTGCATTCACCATTCAGTCACATTCATACACTGAGCCTAAGTGCAGAACAATCAAACAGAAACTAACACATTCAAACACTGGCCAGGGGCAATTCAGGGTTCAGTATTTTGCCAAAGGACACTTCGACATGCAGCCTGGAGCCGGGGATTGAACAGCCGACCTTCCGATTAACAAGCAACCCGTTCTACCCCCTGAGCCACAGCCGCCCCTAAACCAGTACAGAGACAAATCCTTTGTCTGATGCAATAAGGAGGTCGTTAGTAATTTTCACCAGTGCTGTCTCTGTGCTATGATGAGCTCTAAATCCTGACTGAAAATCCTCAAATAAACTATTGCTTTGTAGAAAGTCACACAGCTGTTTAGCAACTGCTTTCTCCAGAACCTTAGAGAGAAATGGAAGGTTAGATATAGGTCTATAGTTGGCTAAAACATCCAGATCAAGTTTGGGCTTTTTCAGAAGAGGTTTAATTACAGCTACTTTAAAGTACTGTGGTACATAGCCTGTTGATAGAGATTGAGCAACCTAGTCGGGATGGGGTCTAAGAGGCAGGTTGATGGTTTAGATGAAGAAATGATTGAAGTTAGTTGGTAAAGATTGAGGGAAGCAAAACAGTCTAAACATATATCTGGTTCTACAGCTGTTTCTAAGGTTCCTGAGTTAAGAGATAAGTTGGTGCCAGTTGAGAGCAGGTCTTGGTGAATTTTGTCTCTAATAGTTAGAATTTTATCATTAAAGAAGCTCGTAACTACTGAGAGCTATGGGAATACTTGGCTCAATAGAGCTGTGACTCTCTGTCAGCCTGGCTACAGTGCTGAAAAGAAACCTGGGGTTGGAATTTTCCTGTTTGAATTGGTTGCAGTGATTTCCAACTTGGGTGTAAAAGACTAAGAACAAGGCTTTCAAATGAGTTATAATTTAGTTTAGGTTTAGAGCTGATTAGTAGGCTAGAGTCGAAGATAGCTGCAACTCCACCTCCTCGGCCTGTGCCTCGAGGAATGTGAGTATTAATATGACTGGGAGGGGTGGATTCATTTAGGCTAACATATTCTCCATCACCCAGCCAGGTTTCAGTAAGACAAAATAAATCAATATCATAATCTGATATTAGTTCATTTACTAGTACACCTTTAGAAGAGAGAGATCTGATGTTTAAGAGTCCACATTTAACTCTCCTATTAGTTTGCACTATTGCTCTTGTGGTTTTAATTTTTATGAGGTTTTTATGCACAGCTCCTCTTCCGTTTACCTTTGATTTAAATAATTTCGATGGGGTTTTGGGTGGGTAACTGCTGAAATAGAAGGGCAGAGAAGTGTGTTAGACTGCGACTCTGCCTCCTGGTCTCAACTCTGGGTTGTCATGGATTTGGTCCACTAATAAACTTTTTTCATTTAATTAAATCCCTGCTGAGTCACCACTCATGATTTAGTTTTCCCTCCTCTTCTGTGTATTTTGTTTGGGGAATTAACCTCTTTAAATGTGCATGTTCATCTTTTCACCTCAATGATAATTCATTTTAATTCAGTTAGAAACTCCTGGACTTTAACAGCTCCTGTGTTTCAGCAGGATTTCTGCTCATGTTCCAAACTTACTGCACATTCAGAATCTCTCCAACATGTCTGTGTTCTCTGACATTTTGAGAAAAAAAGACATTATCACGAGACTGACGTCGTCATTTAATGAAAATTCATGAAACATTTCACTATAGCGTTATTGCTCGGCTGATACAGTCAGACCATCTTACAGACACAGAACTAAATGAGACAAGCAGGTGAAAAAAAAAAAAATCAAAACTAACCGAAAACACTGATCAGGCAGAATTCTCACCACAAATCCACAAAAACTCTGTCACAATCTGGCAGTGACTCACAGCGAGGTGGGTGCACTCGGTTACTATCACAGCGTAGGCTTGTGTCGCATCAGCTGGGTGGAGTTGATTTGTGCAGTCAAAAACTTTCTCTTGTTGTTATGTGCCTCTTCTGCATAAATTCAGATTGTTCTTCATCAATTATTTGATTTAATCCTGGTTTTAATCTCTTAGCACAGATTAATGCAAATAATTTTATATACAGTCTATGTTTCCACCGCAATGGACCAAGTTGTTACTCCTTTCTACCAGCAGGTGGCAGTACTTAAATGAATGCTTGGTTTGTGTCTTTATAAGGGTTTTAAATCCACAAATTATAAACCGAACACTTTTGTTTTCGCCCCCATTCATGATGAGCTGAACTCAAAGATCTAAGACTTTCTCTATGTACACAAAAGGCCTATATCTCTCAAATATTGTTCACAAATCTGTCAAACTCTGTGTCAGTGAGCACTTCTCCTTTGCTGAGATAATACATCCACCTCACAGGTGTGGCATATCAAGATGCTGATCAGACAGCATGGGGATTGTATGATTTGTTCACTGAAATTCCAGAAATCTTAGTAACATTAACTGCAATAAACTATTCATTTTTATCTTGGCTGAACTCCTTTCACACCAACATGTCATCCAGTCTGTTAAATAATTGAATTATTATATTCATTGAATTACATTACACCGTAAACCATAGACTGTATGTAGTTCAGCTCAACTTTATTGTCAGACTTGGGGTCCATTATAAAAACATACAACAATATAGACACACAACAGCTCGTAAAATACAAAAGCACAGAAAATATGGACAATGTTTATAAAAGACAGTTATACCAATACTTCCGCAGGTTCAATAGGTATCATACAACACTATTACTAGGATTCGTCAGCAACTTAAAAATGCTTTTGTGAGAGCCATCCAGTTGACAGATCAATTTGTACATGAGATTTCTCAGTATAGTCTGGAAAGTGTTGACTCTTGCCTTACAAAACGATCACTTGAGCTGCACCACCTAGTTTTTGGTGTGAGTACTAAAATCATGACTTTATTTTACAACGCTGTGTATCTGGAATCTGATCAGATATGGAATGGCATCCTGGTTTGGCACCCTTACCATCCAGTGCAAAACAAAGATTGAAAGACTAATAAAAGCTGCGATGAAGGTTTTGGGAAAGAAAGACTACACTTCCCTTCAGACCATCTTTGAAAAAATGATCTCCCAGGCACAGAAAATCTTGAAGGATCCTTCACATATTCTGCAATCTGAATATGACGTATGACGTTCAGCAAAACGTTATAGAGCTATCAGATGTAAAAGTAACTGCTATAAGCCGTCCTTCATCCCTACTTCCATAGTGCTCCTAAATAATGTGCTCTGAATAAGATGGCTTGAAGCACTTCCAGCACTTTATTTATTTTTAAGCACAGTTTAATATTGGTGATCGCTTTGCTAGTGTTTTCTAACTACCTGATTTTAATTTTGTTTATTATTTTAGAAATGTGGTGGTTGTAATTTTAGAATTTGTTCTCTTGTTTGCAGCTTTATGAGCTCAACTGCAATTGCATATTTTTATTATTCAGAGGTTTCATATCTTTCAGGCTCTACTTCCTTGTAATGAATTACTGACAGGTGTAGTGTTTCAGATACTTGTGCAATGTAATGTAAATGATTGGTGCGGACTGTCTGATATGTATGTGAGTGTAAAGTCCATATGTGTTACTGTTGTTACTGCAGCCTTATGCGGCACTGATGCAGAGACAAATTTCCCTTAGGGGACAATAAAGTTTATCTTGAATATGCTTTAAAAAGCCTTATCTGAACATGGTCTGAACACCTGTAACATTTTCTTGCCTATATATGTCATCATCATCATCATCAGACAACTGATCTGTGAGGAAGTGTCCCAGGTATTTTGTTTTATTACAAATACTTCTGCATAACGTAATGATGACAACACTCTTCGTAGCATTGTACTGCACATCATATTTGAGCCCATAATCACAACATCTATTCAGCAACTGTTTGGGAAACGTTAGCTTACCGCTGGTGACGGGGGTGAGCAGGCGGCCGGTGACGGGCAGCGGCTCGGGGGGGAGGCTCGGTTCAACGGCCTTCTCTGCGCTGCTGTGGAGCGGTGTTGCAGCGGAGTCAAACTCTGTCGTCTGTGTAGTTGTAAAATAGTCAGTAACGTTATATGTGACGTTCTGCTCGCCCAACACAGTAGTTTTCAAGCTGTAACTTGTAGTATTTTCTTTTGTCGTGACGGCAGTAAACAAGATAAATAAACAGAAGAGGTTTGAAGTGGAGTAGGACGCCATCTTTGTTTAAACGTTTCTATGGTTTTTTTCTTCTTCTGTTATTCCTTCTTCTTCTTCTTCTTTTTGTTTTATGGCAGATTGCAACCATGACTTTTGAAGGTGCATACCGCCACCTACTGTATTGGAGTATGTAAACTATTTTCGTTGGGACTACTTTATATCATAAAAAAAAGTAGAAAAGAAGTCAAAAAAAACAAACAAAACAACTACAAAATATGTCCTATTATATATCCCTATATTTTTCAGATATTGTACTACTGCTTTCTGTATATCCTTTACTCCATCTCCTCTTGTGCCTAATAGGCCTTCACGGTTCCACTTCCTTCCTGCCTGACTTATCTTTTTATTTAGCCTCATCCTCTCATCCCTGTATTTCCTACAATGTTATAGTACATGCTCTACATCTTCCCTGGACCTACATTCCAAACATTCATCTGATTGACTTTTGCGCATTAAAAACAATATTTTATTGAACCCTGTGTGATCAAAACTTAGCCTGGTTAAAACACTCTCCTCTCTTCTGTTACTTCTCTTCACAACCTGAGCATTAATGGATTTTTGCAGGCCGTAATATTTCCTTCCACTTTTATCCACATCCCACCTGTCCTGCCATTTCTTCATCATTTCTTTTTTGATTCTCCTTTTCCAAGGGGTATATTCAGACGCGTATAGGAGCCATTATACATGAGGGGGACATGTCCCCCGCACCTTTCAAAATCTATGTTTTGTCCCCCCCACTTTTTCCTGCGATTTTGGAGATGGCTCATAGCCAGGCGGTTTGAGTGACTAGTTAATCAATCAATCACACACTCCGCATCAGACATGATTAAACGGTTGAAACACGGACAAAAATCATGTAGGCCTATCAGGGCCGTGCACAGACCTTTGGAAGGGCAGGTGCTCAAAGTATGAAAAGGGCACATGGAACAAGGATTTAAATAGGATTGTTCTCATACTATTGACATAGAAATATATCGTTATGTATTCCTTGTTGACACGCATATACAGATACTTCTGTATCAATACATGAGCAAATGCTGTGACGCAGAAAGAAACAGGGAATACCCAACTCTAGCTTTAAAACACATAAATTACAGGGGACAGTTGCTGTTGAGGGGTTGCTATGGATACGGCTGCTGCTGCTGTTGTGTTGTTGCTGATACTACTGGAGGTGATCTTTGACAACCTACTTGAATACTGCAGCCACTGCCAAGGCTGACAGCTAGGGAGACGCTCACAGAGCTGCACACCAAGAACTGCAGGTAGAGGAAATAAGATACCAGATTCAAAAAAAGGGTGGGAAATAATCTAAAAAGGAAACATTAATGAGGAAAGGATGAGGGTGGCCATGGCAGGAGTAAGAGTGAGACAAACAAATCTAAAGACAGAGGTGTGTGTGTCTGTGTTGCTTGCATGTCTGTCTACAGTATGCAATATTGTGATAATGATTTTATATATTGCATTGTGAATCTGAGATAAATTTGGATTTTTATTGACTATTGACTCTAATCATAAATCTAAATAAATAAACTAGCATTAATCTTTTATAATATTCCTGACATCAAAGTAGAGAGTGAAGAAGAAACGGCCCTTTTAGATTTCTGTCTCCCTAGCAGTCAGCCTTGGCAGATGCTGCAGTATTCCAGCAGGTCAGTCACTGTGAGCCAGTCCCAAACGCTCAACAAGCTTTACATATTTTTCATGGTCACATAATTGTTTTATCAGCTAATATATATCCTATGTTTGTTTTAACATTTCATACATTTTTATATGTATTTCCAGTTATTGAGTTTTTAGTGTAGTTGAGCTGTTGTAAACACTAGCTACTGTTGCTGTCAAAATGTAAATATATTCAATACTGTTCTGAATTTAATGATTTTTTTTTTAAAAAAGGGCTGATAAGTAGGCTATAAGTCGGAGGAATAGGCTTAGTATTTTACCAATGTTGTTATACTTATTTTAGGGCACAAGGCTTTTATTAAGTCACTGTTATAATCCTAGTTGAAGTGAAAAGATTTGAGTCAAATTACAAAGATTTTCTCCCCCAAACAGAATGAAGTGAACAGAGCACCTTTGTTTATCTGTGTGTAGAAGTAACGTTAAGCTGATGTTACTTCTACAGGCGACACACAGCAACATACACAACTACTGTACTGCTCTCTTTGTGTCTTTCTTGTAAAATACATCCAACAACTCACAACAAGCACGTTGCGCAAAACCCCTCTTACCGGCGGGATCGAAGGTGTCCTTCAGCAGAGCTGCTGAATTACTAACGGTGTCTGAACGGGACGGCTCGTCACGGATGAGGTCATCAGGTGAAAGGTCATCAATTTTATTTACTGCGATATTATTATTAATTCATTCTACTGATACTTTGATTGGGCAGGCCTTCACAAAAGGGCCTTAACAAATTTAAAAATAAAAAAAATTAATGAAATTATGCATTTGAAAAAAGGGCACTTTGGGCATCAAAGGGCAAAAGGGCAGGTGCTCAAGCATCCATTGCACCCCCCTCTGCTTGTGTCTGCTGTCAGGTTGGCAACAGTTGCACAAAAACACTTACCGTGTGCTACAGTGCTGCAGTATAGACTACTGTTTAAACTAATCTGTATAAAACTGATCAATGAACAGTAGGCTAACCTTTCATCTTGTAGTCGCACTGATTGGAACATTCCTATCATAGTTATCAGCTGGATATGATGTGAATATTTCTGAGTGAGGATGACTGTGGTGCAGCTGAAACAAATACATGTAGTTTAAAAGTGAGTTTTTCATTATCTGCTGATAAAACGTCTGAATGTGTTTTGACAGCATTTCATAAAATACGAAATGAGCAAGATTTTATTTATGTAAAAAACTTCACAGTCAGTTTGAACCTAGACACATTTTACATTGCAAAACAATCATTAATAGGCATAGGCCTACTGAGTCAGACTGTCACTTTACAATCACAGGTCCATGAGGAGCCTAAACTGTGTCTAATCTGTTCGATTAATATATTCATCTTCAGTTATTGCCACCGGCATTTAGTCCCATCAGGTTCCAGCTGAATAAACAGGCCTGTAGCTATTTAAAATGAATAACAGGCTGGAGGAGAATTCCAGCTCTTTATCATTCATTAAGGAAATTCCAGTCTGGTAAATGATGAATGAGCAATGCTGTATAAAATGTAATATTGTTAACGTATCGATCCTCCATTCCTGTGTTTTAGAGCCAATCATGGTCGCGTTGGCAGCGTTTATAGCTCCACCTGATTAAAATGGAGGCTCTGCCTTTATTTACCCGTTGCTATGGTGAATCGTAGTATCTGAGCTCCATTGATGATGGCTTTTTTTTCATCCCCACGCACGCGCTTCCATCAGGCTCAACATACTCAGAGTTGACTGAACTTATTCTGATGGGCCTTTCTGGAACGGGTCGGGAGTTTGTCAACCCAGAGGTAAGGTTTACACTCAGAGTTTGTTGAACCTTCTTTCTGAAACTGGTCCCTGCTGCCCATGCAGGGACCAGCAGCAGAGTCAGGATGATAATAGATGCTTTCACTCACCACAGAAAGGTGGCACAGCGGTTTTTCCTCTGGGCAAACTTCTGGGTGAATCGGAAGTTTTTCAGACAGCCCGCTGACTCGTTGTGCCCCTCCTATTTGTTGTGCTGCTCAATGGAGAGCGATGATTACCCTTCCAAGTAACGTTGAGCCCAGTTTCACAGCATCGTCCAGGTGACTCCCGCTGTTCTCACATTTTGGGAAGGAAAGGAGTTGAAGGGAATGAGACTGCAGTAACAAATAGGGAAAAGGCAGAGTTCATGGCAAAAACTTTTGTAACAGTGCATAGCTCAAATAATTTGCAGGAAGAAGGAAGAAGAGGTAGAGAGTAAACAAAATCTGAAAATATGGAGGCTTTAAAAAGTAGTATAGATGATGGGCAAAATGTCCCGTTCAGAATGGAAGAGTTAAGAAGTGCACTAGATAAAGCAGGACAGACAGCACCGCGTAAAGATGAAATATGTTATAGCATGATAAAGCATCTAAGTGTAGGAAGTCTGGAGAAATGATTGATGTTGTACAACAGTGTGTGGGTAGAGGGAATAATGCCAAGGAGTTGGAAGGAGGAGGTAATTATTCCAATAAAGAAACCTGGAAAAGATGCCAGCTATAGACCAATTGCCTTGACTTCAGATATCTGTAAGTTAATGGAACATATGATGAATGAGAGGTTGTGATATGTAATAAGTTGTGATATGTAATTTTGGCAGTGAAAAAAACAAAAGAAAAGTCAGTGAAGGGTATTTGAAATTGGACAGAAATAATTTAGAGAGATTTTTTTGGGACTGTATTTTGATGTGAGATTAACATGGAGGAAGCATATTAGTTTGGGAAACGTTATATTATAAATGTAAAAAAGTTATAAATGTCATGAGCTGTCTTGCAGGGTTGGGGTGGGGATTATAAAATCAAGGTTAGACTAGGGAAGTAATGTGTACAGTTCAGCAGCCAAATCTGTATTACCAGACTTGGATGTTATACAAGCTCGGGCTTTAATTGTGTGTTTAGGAGCGTTTAAAACTTCCCCAGTATGTGCTCTCCAAGTTGAAGCAGGTGAAATGCCACTGTGGCTGAGGTGGGGGCTAATTATTGGGTCAATCTAAGAGGGCATGAGATGGCCATCCAGCAAAAAAGGCGCTGCAGACATGCAGCGAGGAGACAACACAAAAACAAGTGTTGGGTGGACAGGAGATCAAATGGCAAAGGACACAGTAGTTTATGATAAAGAGTTTGGTACAAATGTGGTGTGGCCTATTAGACCTGTCTGGGAATTAGAAACACCATGTTTAGATTTGGAATTACTTAAGATTAAACGCAATAATAAGACTGCTGATTTAACTAGTGTATATTATAGCTATAGGGCAGGGGTCTCAAACTCAAATCATCCGGGGGCCACTTTGGTACTGTCATCTCATAGGAGGGCCACATTAAAGTACTCTAAGAAAGTGCAATATTCTCAAAATGTACTAATTTCATTACCATTACCAATTTTGAACATTTCCATGTGTTTTTCTGAAATAAACAGTAAATTAAAGTTGTACTGAAGTCAAAAAGTACAATACAATATATACTTTACTCAAATGTAATGCATTCTCAAGTATATGTAACTCAAAAATGTATTGCAAATGAGATAATTCAAACTTGGCCACTGAAGTACACACTCAGCCGCAAATGAACTAAAATCTTGCAAATCGAGTATCATAGTTTCATCATCAATTTTATACTTCACTTTAACACTGAACTTACAAATGCAATCCCTGACTACTTTGTTGACCCTACTTTGTTTTAATTCTTGCCAGACACCTGTTCTCTTTCTCACATAACTGAAAAACGTTTCCTCTGATGGAGGTTGCAGTTGAAAGTAGCTAAGGCTTCAAGACGGGCATCAGTTAGTGAGCCTGGACCTGTACTTTTCACTTCATAGTTGAGAAAACATTCTCACAGAGATTGGGTTAGATATTTGCTTCAAAAAAGGCACATTAACCGACTGAACACTTTGGACAGTTCTGGGAAGGATGGAGATACAGGAAGTCTCTGAAATTTTCCAATAAGATCTGCTTTTCCATCTGCCTCCCTGAATGTGGTTTTTAGTTCCATGTTACGCTGCAAGTCAACAAGTTCTATTTGCAACAGACAATAAACATGAAATGTTCATATTTCAAGAACCTGCTGCACAGTGCCTGTTGGTGTATAATGCAGCACCTGCCTTTTCCTCTCCTAACTTTCTCTGTACCAGAGCCATCAGTCTGTTTTTTCTGCCTGACACAGATGGGGCTCTGTCAGTTGTAATGCCTTTAAGCTCAGTGGTAATCCCGCGCGAACCAGTTTCACTTCGAACTTCTCATTAATATTCCCGATGAAAATTGCGAGCACAGCCCTGCTGTCGGTTTTATCTGTGATTTCATCGAGCGTCACAGAGTCCGCAGTGAAAGCTTTAACTTTATCAGATTACTGATCTTAAATGTGACTTGATAACTAACGTTTTTTCATTGCCCCGCGGGCCAGACCGAGGGTGAGGGAGGGCCTGATGTGGCCCGCGGGCCTGTAGTTTGAGACCCCTGCTATAGGGACAGTAGGTATAAGAAAAGTATTCAGATTTTCAAAGATGGGTCCAAAGACATGAACTCAAGAATAGCTTGGCAGGGAAAAAATGTCATATTCATGTGGGTCCCAGCACACTTGGGAATTCAGGGAAATGAAAAAGCAGACAAGTTGGCAAAAGAAGCAGTTAAAAAAGGAGATGTTGAAGTCAAATATGAAATTATCAAAATCAGAGGGGAAAGGAATAGTGTGAAGTGCAAATCAACAATGGCAACAGAACTGGGATAATGCAACAAAAGGGAGACATTTACATACAATCCAAAACAGAGTAGGAATATCAGGAAGAAGGGGAGCAAAGCGGAAAGAGCAAGTGACAATAAGCAGGCTGAGAACTGGACGTAGCAATCTTAACAGCACACTTTTACTTACAGGAAAACATCCTACAGGAATGTGTGAACAATGTCAGGAGGCTGAAACAGTAGAACATATTCTTACAACATGCAGGAAATTTACTCAGGAAAGACAAGAAATGATAACACAGTTAAAAACAATAGGACGGGTGGATAATACAGTAAAAAGTTTATTGGAGTGTGGAGAAAGTGTGGAGGGCAGGAAATGGATATTTGGTTTTCTGAGGGCGACTGGATTAGATAGGCGGATTTAGTATGAATGAAAGCAAAGGGTAAAGAAAGCCTGAAGGTGGCAGTAATGCAACTCAATGGATGCCAGCTGCCGTAAAAACCCAAAGAAGAAGAAGAAGAAGAAGAAGAAGAAGAAGAAGAAGAAGAAGAAGAAGAAGAAGAAGCCAAATGCTGTAAAAACTGAAGAAGAAGAAGTATAGCCGCCCTTTCCGGTCATGTGACTTGTTGGATTGTTTGGGGCCGCGCGTCTTTCAGTGTTGGCGGGGATCTGGGGACTCTGAGAGCCAGCTGTAGCTTCTCAGTTGACTACAGAACTAATTTAACGTTAACGCTCCAGATATTATTATCTAGAAAATGTCTGACTGGACCAGAGACGGGCGACGTGATGCTCACAACAGTGAACATGAAAATAGGTAAGTTTTGCTGGTGTACATTCACCTAACGTTAACGTTTCTTAAAACACCGTTAATATTACGAGCTTCTATTGTTTCTTTGTCCACTTGATGGAAGGCACTAACGTTAGCTTAAAATCTTGTTTCGAAAGAGATGTGTTGCTGTAGATGTGTTGCTAACTGCATAACGTTAACAGTTACTGGTAACGTATGAGTGGCTATTTTTAGAACGTCAACGTTAACTTAAGCGAACTGTTCGCGTCTGTTCCAATAAATATTTGCTCTCTAAACACACTCTGTCCTGCGCTAAGTTAGCTTGTAAGACTAGCTTAACCGTCCTATGTAATGGCAGCTTGTTCCTCTTTGGGCTGTGTTCGTGAAATTGATTGCTAACCTTAGCATTGTGGCGCTCCCTGTTCAGTTGTTAGCGTGGGAAGAAAGGCTGAGAAAGAGGCGGTAAATATAAACCTCGAGGGAAAAGAACAGTGAAGTTGTTTGCCGGGTTGGATTCCAATTTATCATGTGTGCAGATTAGCTGAAAGGACATTTAACCACACTGACAGTAGGACTAATTCGTAACACGAACGGTTTGTCACTGGGAAATGTCAGGCTTTCTGCTGGCTGTAACGTTAGCTAACTTACTCGCGATACAACGTTAAGTGAAAGGAAGTGCAGTCTATCCCAGACCATGAGTTACATGCCCTGAACAGGGTCGGAGAGATAATGGATATTAACAGATAATAGTCAGACCAATCGGAAGTAGGAAGTAACGTTACATGGCGGGACCAACTTTATGACCTGGTTATTTCTATTAATTAAACATTATAAAGCTGATTGAAGTAACAAGGTGCAACTAGCCAAGTGTGTGCGTGTATTAACGTTAACTTTAGGTTTAGCTTTTGCATACATTAAGTTAGTGCCATAGAGGTAAACATGGATTTATTTAAAAAGAATATCAACGTTAACCGGCGATGTTTAAAAAAGCCCAGAAACTCGTTTAAAAACACTCAAGCTAGCGCAATTTGTGGTATTTTCAGAACCCTCGTCTAACCATCAGGATTAACAAATATCCGGCCCGCCGCACGACTACAAAGGTTTCTTGCCGAGACTCTGTTTCTGATCCCGGTAGCCGGCGAACTGCCATCTTTGTTTTGGTTCAGAGACATTAGCATTAGCTGATGTAGCTATTTATAATTTACATTTAAAACTAGAGACTGCGTGTAGTCTGCAAGCCAGTTCTGCATCCGGTGCAGTGTTGGACTGGTGTCCTTTTGTTTGTACCGGTTTGTTCTACCTTGACACATGCTTGTAATGGCCAGCTATTGCAATGAAGCTGAACATATTCTTTAGAGCCCGACCGATATGGGATTTTTAAGTCTGATGCCGATTTCGATATTTGAGATTTTAAAATCTGATAGCCGATATTCCCCCCCACACACACACCTTATTTTAAGAAACGCATAACACAAACAAAGATTATCCCTAATATTTGTTATGCCGAGACCTCACCAAGATACCATGACACAAGTCAGTATAAAAAGAAAGTTTTATTGTTTATAAATAGTACTTTGATCAAAAGTACAACTATATATGTAAGTTTTGATAAATAAAGAGTATAATAAGAGATAATAAAGAGTCAAATGTACAAAACTACAGAAAACATTTTACAAATATCTGATTTGTTATAAATTATGGAGTACTGTTACTAATGAACATTAAATTAAATAGTGAATGTATTGTGGGGGCAGCAAAACATAAACTATAAAAAATACTACTACAACTAATGATAATAATGCCATATATCAAATCTCATGTCACTGCTGTAATATTAATGGTAAACAGGGCTCTCCTGAATAGGTAAATTATATATTTTTTGTCATGAAATAGTTATTACCTTAAATCTGCCACAATTACTACTTTCTACTCTGTAGCATATTCAAATTTAGTTTATCCCTTTACCAGCAATGTTAATTCTAGCCAATGCTATGACAAACCATTTCCTGACCACCATGTGGCCCTAAAACATGTCGTCTATGATGTGACAGTGACCCAGAGGAAATGCTGCCTTTGAATTCATCTAATACTACATGACTGTCTACAACCAGGACCTGCAACTTTGAGATTTCACACTAACGTTGCACATTGACAAGAGCAGCTACATAACTTTGTTTGGCTGGAAGCCGTGTTAGATAGGCCTACTTGTTGAGCTCATCTTTATTTACATGTCCCCTCTCATTTCCAACTTTTCGACTGTAAGACAAGCGGCTCGCAGATATATTTAGATTATGTTAAACAATATAGTTTAACTGCTCATTAATAACGTTAGTGCTGCTCTGATGATAAACATGGCATTAACTTTGTGGCGTCAACTGCTGTATGTGATGTTTAAGAATATTTAGAAGTAATGAATTAGAGATAAATAAGAGGACCATTCGCTAGAACTGTTTGAGAAACAAATCTATAACCACAACGCTCATGACATGAGGGAAGGATCCAACTCTGTTTCTGTTTTTTAATAAAGTCATAAATCGGCTGTTATGAACGCTGATGTAGATATATCTGCTAGTAGCTTTTATCGGGCGGTAATATCTGCAAAGTGATAAATCGGTCGGGCTCTACTATGCTTGGATGTTTAAATCCAGTTCTTTATTGTGTCTTCCCCGCACAGGACCTATGGCCGGTCTCGGTGGTCCCACTGCAGGAAGAGAGGGATCGATGGAAGCCTGCGGGCCAGCAGAGAGGCAGATGGTAGTGACAGGGAAAACGTCAGCCACAGCCACTCTGACAACAGACATGCCAGGTAAGGGTATACATGTACAGTAGATTAGATCTGACTTTAAAAAAAAAAAAGAAAATTTAAGTGAACGATCTTTTTAAATAAATCTACATGCAGTACTATGATATATAATTATGGGCGGTTGTAGCCTCATGAAGCTGTAGGGCTATTTTATTGGAAAAAGAACAGCCTAGGTAAAAATCTTTTTGTTGACACAGAATATTAATGTACCTTATTGGTGTAGCTCAGGCCTAGTTCATCTTGTGTTTAAACTTAATGGTCGATATTACATAACATTTCATATGAGTTGTGATGTGATTGGAGAATGATAATCATTAAATTAGTCTATTATTTGGGGTTTGTATTACATTATTACTTTGTATCGGGTGGAAATTTCCATATTTCCCTGTAATTGTCCTCTTTACGTAGCCCGCTAATATTATCTATAAATGTTAGCTCTCTTATCAATAGTACATGCTAGAGATTATAAGGTACAGTCTTGCAGGATACTGAGCGCAGCATTCCCACACGTCGTAGGTGTGTTAACAAGTTAGTGACCACATTTGGCAATGTGTGGCCACAACTACATCTGCTGGCACTGTGGCAACGATAACCACCGTGTGTTTATGCTGGTATGTACCCCTTGTGTTTCTTTAGTTTCACCACTCCAGAGAGCGCAGGCCCGTTGTCTCGCTGTGGTAGACAGTCTGACTGGAGCAGCCAGGTGGATGATGATGAGCTGAGGAGGGATGTCCACAGAGACATGCAGCGGTAACCAAACTCTTTGAACTCAAAGCTTTTATGCCAGTGGTTTCATATCTGATTCATTCAAAACACCCTCTCTATTGAGTGCCAATCTTCACTTATTGTGTGTTCAGTTACAGGAGGAGGATACTGGGTGCAGAGGTCACCCAGAGGGAGAGAAAGACCTCCTCTGGCTCTTCTGGGAGGTAAGTCCCCATCTCTCATATTGTCTCTTTATGACCATTAAACTCAGAATATGCATCTGTTGATAAAATGCAAGCCAACATGCAGTAGATTAGTAACAGCTGCTATTTGGAGGTTGCATTCGCAATAAATAAATACTTACTTTTTATTGTTTAAGTCCATGTGTGCCTGTCTGTCTCCTGCAGCTGTGACTCCAGAGAGGGGGAAAACATGGAGACTGATGAGGGTGTGTTGCTACGGCGACAGAAACAGATCAACTACGGCAAGAACACACTGGCTTATGACAGATACATCAAAGAAGTTCCAAAGTAGGTCAACACAAACGCCCTCAATCCATACATCTATGACACAATGTATGTGCAACATAAAACATCATAATAGAAAGTAACTCATGTCCAGCGGCAGGGAGGGTTATTGTAGGAGAAAGAAATGAAGGTGTAAGGGCTGGCACTATCACACGTCGCTCTAAGAAGTTATGTGTTAATACAATAAATAATAAATCAGTCAAACATTAATCTCTTTGTTTCTTGTCTTTCTCTCTTTGTTCCCAGACACATGCGTCAGCCAGGTGTTCACCCAAAGACTCCCAATAAGTTCAGGAAGTACAGCCGTCGCTCCTGGGACCAGCAGATCAAACTGTGGAAGGTCAAACTGCACGCCTGGGACCCCCCAACACAGGGCGGCCAAGACAAAGTCCTCGATAACATGTAAGAAGATGTGCCTTCGACCAGATACAAGTGACTCGAGGCTCAAATAAAACATTCTGTGTAGTCTTAATCAGCTGTGGGTCATGATTATGTGTTTGTTCCTCCAGTGAGGAGCTGGGTCTCGATGATGTAATGGACATTGAGCTGGACTTCCCAACCTTGTCAGACTCCCAGGATGCTCCAACCTGTCTCCCCACACGCAGCCTTTCACTGGAGGTGAGATTGATGAAGTCACTTGTGTTTAGTGAAATTGTAGCCCATCTAAAGCTCAAACACACATGGTTGTGACTGCAGGGGAGATGGTAGACAGGGTTTAAAAATATAAAAACTGAGTACAGAAGACTTCATTATGAACAAATGGAGGAGAAAAGGCATACAATCTGCAGTCTTTTCATTGATTATATCTTTATATGCTGCTGTAAATCTGTGGTGTCGGACAGTAAATGTGGCACTTACAACTTCAAAACCTGAAGTAGAGCCCCTCACTAAAAGCAGAGGGGGGAAAAAAAAACAATACTTCATGAACAGGCCTTTTTATTGAACACGATTGCTTGTGCTCTCCTGCTCAGGGTGAAGACTGTTCCGGCACTCCAGTTAAAGTACAGAAGACAGAAACCACAGCGGAGCCTGACATGGCATAGCTCATCTTTGGCCTTCTCCAAGAAGATACATGTTCACACACACACCTCAAATGGTTCAGCTGTTTCCGCCCAACACTTACACTTCTCCCAAGCCCTCCATGTTACCCAGAATGACTATCCATTTATAGTAGTGCTTCCTAATCCATAGACTGGGACCATTTACAAATGACTACTCAGGGAGTCTTCTTTTATGGCAAGACTTTACAGTTGCATGTTTAATCAAGCTTCAGTCAGTTAAAATGGTTTAGGATTTTGTGTTCACAGTAGCACTTGTAGCACTGATCTGGGGCGTGGTAGAGCAGACATCCAGGTTTGTAGATGTCCATTATGTGCAACTGTTATGTCAAATCCTGCTTATACTTGCCAGATTTAAAATGCTAGACTATATAGAAACTCACTCAACTCAAATGGTTCTCTAAATAGTTAAAGGAGATAGGCAAACCAAAGGCAAAGTATTTTCCTTTTAATGATTCACATTGACAAGATTTTCTTTTTTTTTTTCTTTTTTTTTTTTTCCTGTATGAAAAATTTTAATTACTGAAGACCATTACTTCAAGTTCTACTGGGCTGTGATTTGTTTTTACATTGGTTGTTTTTTAATACAAAAGTTACTGTGTTTCTTATTGCTGTTTCCTTCATGGTGAAGAATTTCAAATAAAAAAACAAACTTGACTTGAATGTCCTTGTGTTTTATGACCAGAACTGATGGATTGTTATCCTGCCGTCGACTGATGAATTGAAAGCTAATATGGTTTTGGAGCAGCTTCTGATTTGAATCAGTGCATCATCTTTGTTACTAACTAAAGCTTTACAGTGGAAACACTCAACCCACCATTGTGCCATTTATACTGTATTAAGTTTATGGTAACTAGTCCTATAAATGTAGCTGCGAGAGTGCCAAAACTGTCAGTTTCACTTCTATTGCACCTGAAGTTTTATTAAAGGGGGTATTTACACAGTCCAAGAAATGAGACCACGTCTCCCCTAACCTTTCACTGGTTCCCCATTCATTTCAGGAAACACTTCACATTTGACAGCAAATGTAACCAAATGGGTGCAGGTTGACATGCATAGTAAAACAAAACCCGGACCAATAGAAAGTGATAGTCTTTTACAGTAAAATAAAGTTTATAAAACAAAAAGTGAATACAACTTGACATCAACATTACAAGACAGTGTCACAATTAAAATCATTAAATTATTATATTTTTGAGGTCCTACTACAGTGGGAGTCATCACTAAACTGGAAGAACCTTAATCCAGTCAAAATTGTAGCACCATGACCGTACCTCTTGTAACTATTAACCTTGGAGGAAACTTGAAATTACTGGAAAAAATTACCCTGTTAACTGGTTAACAGAGAATTGTATATCACAGTTTTAATAAGTGCTTCAATTTCAGTAAAATGTACTTGATTTGAACAGGATAATCAGCTAGTATCACAGCTGCTTTCCACGGAGTCATGCTCAGGTAGACACAAACCTAAATCTACTTTTATTAGAGTAAATAAAACTGGAAATGGTGTATATGCAAATAGAAAGTAAGATTGCACTCATTGATGACCATTTTTGTTACCTGCAGTTTACTAGGAGCTCGGTCTGTTTTTGCCGTCTTGTAACACAGTAATAAAGCATAAGTTTTATCCTACTCTTCATAACTTACTTTCATTTTGCACACAGGTTACCTGTAGATAGTGCTGCAGGTTTTTGGAATAATGTTTACAGTCTGTTACAAAAAGCAATTTTGGTCTCTATAGCAATTTTCCCTAAATGACAACTGCATTTTTATATAACTCACCTGTTTTAATTATAGCAAGGCTTAATGTTAAGCATGAATTAGAGGATTTTTACTCTTTATAAGTAATTGCATTTCAATTAAGTAAGCACAGTAATATTACAAAACAAATTATATCAACCCATGCCATTTATTTCTTTCCTCAGCATTGCAACACAACAAATATGAATCAAATTGTGCTATAATCAAGGAACACTGGCAAATAAATGAAAAAAGCACATAATGGAAATGCTATGTCTAGCAACTCTAATACTGCAGGGACGACTGTTAATATTCCTAATCTATAAACATCGGTATCTCACTAACCGCTGCCACAAACAGCGGCAGCTGCTCTGGCAAGTCGGAAATACCACTATTTGAGCCTGCTGTCTCTCTTCACCTCTATGTTTGAGACCCAGACAAGCGGTCCACGTTTAAACTGAAGTTTGAGTGAGCACTGTTTTCGTCATAGGTGTGGTTTTCTTCCAGAGCTTGAGAGAAGTCTGAGTTCATTTCTAATGTTGACTCTGGGCGGCAGTATTGCGCACACACGCGTTCAAACTCTCTGAATTATAAAAAGGAAGAAGAAGAAGAGCGAAAGAAAACTAAAAGAGGAGAGAAGGGAAGATAATAGTTACTGCTACGTTGAAGGTCACATTGATTAGGATTTGAAGAACTGATTGAGGACCATGCTAAGGGCTTGTGTGAGAGGAGCTAATGCCACAGCCCGGGTAAGACTCGTGCCTTCCCCACTGACCACTCCTAAGCGGACCGTGAGCTAACGTTATCATGTTGGCGTGTTGTCAGTCGGTGACCCACAGCCAGGCTCAAGGTGCCGTAACGTTAGCGGTATTGTATTGTGAACAAAGTTGTGTTGTTAACATTAAAATGCTACCTAGCGTTACATTAAAAAAAACTTACATGACACTTCATTTAAGTTGTGAACAGAAAGAGCCGATAAGATCACTGCGTAATGTCAGTGCTAGCTGGTTAGCTTCCAGTGACAGATGGCTAATGCCATATCAGCCATGAGCAGGCAGAGGGAGTTCAGGTCAAACGTCCATCTGCGACCTCGCAGAAGTCGCAAGCGTCAACCTTTCTCTTAATTTATTTTTCATTAACGTTATTATTTCGTATCAGTAGAAGAGAAAACCAACTAACTCAAACTAACGTGTTTTAAATAGCTAACATGTTTAAATGTGGCTAACGCTAGCAACATTTCCCACTTTTTTGATACATTTTTTTTTTAATAATGAACGTGTGAGCTGTTGTATAATGAAATCTGGTCCAGCCCCCTGCAGACCTGCCCTTCACCCCCACAAATGTGCTTTTACATCTCGGCTTCATGTTTGAAAAAGATCGAGTCAGAGTTCTTGAAAGTCAAAACTGCAGTTTCCCAGCAGGGACCCGGTAACGTTAACGTCCCACGGCTCAGGCTGACCGCCTTGAACGTCTCGTCGGGCAAACTCAGAGCATGGCGTTTCCATAGTGTCGCAGCGATATGTAATAAAAGGATCACAATACCTGAAATAACCATGGTAATAACCTGCCTGGAGCGCACAGCACAACACGTTTCTTTGTGTAATATTAAATACATTGTACGGTTATTATTACATTGTGATTTTTAAGTGACAATTGTGATAACATGACATTTTGTAATAACGAAATATTATGAATTTAATACATGTCTTTAAAGTGTTTGAGTGGTTTAACCATTTGCCTTACTTTTGCTGAAACTTAAAATAAATAAAAATAAATAAAATACGACTTTATTGCCCACCAAAGTTAAAATTGTCATTAGCCAACCAAAACATGTTACATACCAAACAAATACAGTAAAAGGAAACCATGAAAACATACAATTTTCATTCACTGGTGTCTTTTCTCTCTGCCAAAGTATCTCCCAGTTAAGAGTTTAGAGAAGGATGTGGGGAAACATCTTTTCCTTGCTTGTAACAGAACCAGTAATGCCTCCCTGTAAAGTTCATCTGAAGCTACATCAGTTTCTGCCGGATCAGCTGTGAGTTTAGAGAATAGTACGGTGCTGTACAGTGCTATTCTTCCCTTCTGACAAAGTAGTGTGAAACGTTATCCTCTGCATGAGTTCCCTTAAAATGTTTTTCAGGCAGATGCAACTTCACAACAAACTGTATTTAACTGTTCACTATTCCATTTCACAAATTCTATCAGAATGTTTCGAGAAAAGTAGAAATAACTTTGTAGCTCATTATCCCTAAAAAAAGGTGCAATGTAAATGATGTGCTCATTCAGTTTCCCTTTTTGTTAACTAAGCTAATAAACGATACAGTCATTCAGCTTCCAAAATAGTGCGTCAAATGCATGTCATCATGCAATTTTAAAATGCAAAATGCATCAGGTAGTGATTACTCAACAGCATTTCAGCATTCTGGCAGTAATGCTGCATGAACTAGCTGTCTGTCTAATATTGACTTTCTCTTGTCCTCACTCTCTCTGTCTACCTCTCCCCCTCTCAATAGAAGAACTTCGGGAAAACCAGTCTAACCAATCTGCAACACAGTCGGCACTACACAGCAGGACAGACCAGGTAATACACTCGCACACACACTGTACAGAGGATGAATTGTGGAAAATTTCAAGTGAGTCAAATGACATTCAGCCCTCTTGATCCATGTTTCCCGAACTTACGGCTGGGACCCAAAATGGGCGTCAGGTAAATACATAACAATGTTACAATACGTACAAATGAGAATTAGTTTTCTTTTTTGCTGCACTGGTCTGTTCAGCTCCGACGCTGTGTGAGGTTTTCTCTCTGTCTTTACCCTAACCTGACCTGCTGTCCACATTCATACAGAATCCAAATGAAAGTACAAGGCAAGTTTATTAATGTTGGGTTTACCAAAGCCATTTGGAATGGAGAGGAGATGCCTCAATGTGTAATATGTGGGGAATTGATCATAGAGAAATAAATACATTTCAGATACATTTTTAATTCATCATTTGTTGTGTCCTTTATCTGCACTTTATAGATGTAGATGTTAAAGCAGTTCATGGTTTATTTGTGTAAATTCGGGTCCCAGGGAGACACCAGATTTCTTTTTTTGGGTCTTGATCTGAAAAAGTTTGGGAACCGACGCTCTTGTGATAGCAAGACATGTTGACATCAGATTCATGTTTATCCCTTTTTGTAATCTTCCACCACAGCGGTGCTGCTAAAGTGGTTGCTGCTGGCTTGCTGACAGTAGGCGGTGGCATTGGAAGTACAATACTTTACGCCAAATGGGACCACAAGTTCAGAGCAGCCGTGGAGAGCAATGTTCCATACTCTGACTGGCTGTTGGGTCTGGCTTTGGGACCCACTTCTCAAGATGGCGGCCTCCCCATCAAGAAACAGGTCAGGATGGATTTACATCTTCTTTGGACAATGTGCTAAGGCTAGATGAAATCTTCTTTATGAGACAGGGTGTGAAAGAGAAAAATTATTTTAGACAGACACTCTTTGGATTTGGAAATGGCTTCACTGCAGCACAACTGCCCCAAATAATAATAAGAAAACTATTATTAGATTGAGATCATTTTCAATGCAGACATGTACTCAACAAAGAGCAAGACGATTGAATAGTACAAATTTTATTTGTTGGCTTAAAATAATCTTTCTGGTTGTTTCCTCTGCTTTATAATTTAAATCCCTACTGTGGTCGGACACTAGGACCCTGAGGGAGGCTGCATTTCAGTGCGTCTCTGCTGAGCTGCCAAGAAACCTTACGCTGAATACACCAATATTATGTAGCTGCAGTACCAGAGGCTGCAGTTTCAGGACCCCCGGAAGCTGGCAGTATCAAAGTAAACAAGGGTCCTGGAAATGCAGTTCCGGTCCTAGGATTGCGGTCCTGAAACTGCAGCCTCCGGTACTGCAGCTA